TGTTTAGTGCTTTGCCAGCCTAGCACGTGCTCGCAGCTCCATATGCTCTCAGTGTAGTCTGACATTTTTTGTGTGCCTCTAAGTGCACTTTTTGTGTGCAGCTAAGTGTGATGAAACAGTTCTCGTCTTGTGACTTGTAACATAAATGTGGGTCTTTCTAATCGTCTGTGTGCCTGAATTACTGGGTGTCAGGCAGTATCCTGTGTATTTTGTTGTGGCATCTCTTTATGTGGGGCAATGCTTTTAGTTCAACCTGTTTGTATAGAACTGTTGCTTGGACCTTTAAAAGGACAAAAAAGTGTTCTTGCAAAGCATTCACAAATTACCAGCTGATGATCATGAGATCAAACTAACCCAAGATAAAAATAACATGTAGTTAAATCAGTCATTCATGTCTTGAAACAAAGCTGTAATTCAGTTTTTGACCATTCTTCTGGGAGTAATGTAACATTTTAGTCATGATGTCGGTTCAGCTGAGAAGCGCATGCCTGGAAGCTTCTTCCTTCATTATTCTTCCCTGTTGATACTTTGGGGAAAAAAAAAGAGAACTAAGGGGCACAGTTCCAGGTGCATGTCTTTCTACAGTGTGCGTGTGTATTTATATATCTCTTACATGTCCAATGGATGGGAGGGCATAAAAGGACTTTGTCTGTAATTGCAGGTGCTATATCACCACTGAATTCTCTTACTGTTTCCTAGCTGTTAGAAGCAAGTTATAGTTCAAGTCTGGACTGCAGGACTTGTCAGACTATAGCAGAGATGACAATTTAATCTCTTAATCCTTCTTGCTCTTTAGACTTTCTCAGAAGAAACCTGAGAAGAAATCCATCCCCATAGTGGTGGCTTTCTCCCGTTATGGTGGACTAAATGCTTCTGCTATAGCTGCCTCCAGGTAGGCTCCTCTGTCCTCCTCCGCATACCCTTGTGAATGCTCCATTCTTTCCCCTGTTGCCAGCTCATTTGTTTTTATAAATGCACTTCACTACTCCCAGAAGTAGTGGTAGTTAAAGTGGAATTGGTCAAGTGCTCAGTTCAGAGCCCAGGTCTAGCTCATTTGTGGAGGATCCATGATTGTACAATTGCAGTTTTAGCAGAAAGCAGCCACTAACTCTCCTCCCTCCCCCCCTTTTTTTTTTCCCCTCTTGGTACAGTGCACGTGGTGTATGTGCTTGATAACCTTGACTACTTTTTGCAATTTTCTCTGCCCTTCTTTCTTAGCAAAGTAACCCTCTGACATATGCACACAGTTGAATGCTTATTGTGGCCGCTTCTACTTACACTTCAGTAACACTTTCTGCAAGAAACACTGTAGAGATCTTTGGGTTTGTCATCGTTCACAAGAGAGTATAGCTCAGCTTTGGAGAAGACATTTTTTGGCATCTGTTAAGATGGGAGTGTTGAACAGTTTATAAACGCGTACTCTGAAGTATAGAGGTGTGTTTATTGTCTGATTAGTAATACCCGGACTTGGCTGATTTTTATGTTAAAAATGAGGGTGAAACCCTGTCAGAAAACACCTCCATAAAGGCAGGTGGGTCTATACTTGTCATGTTAAGCTAGTTAATATCTCTAGAAAGTTTAGCCAACCTTCAGGTACCTCTCAGCTTTGTTTTGCTGAAAGGTCATTTTGCAGGCAGATCTGCTTGGCTAAACCAAGCTGAACTTTCTAGATCATTCTCAATCAAAATACTCTTTCGCCTTACTTCACTTAAGGAAAAGTTAGGCTCTTGGAGTTAATGCTCCACCCTTTCCTCTCTCAGGAATCCCAACCACAACATTAGAAACTACATTGGAAGTGACAGTGTTTGGAAAAGGCTGTCACTAGGTTACTCTCTCTTTTGATGAGGCTGACTCGTACAGATCTAGGGAAATTAATTGTTTTACTTTGAGCTGGATCAACACTTGTTATACATCATATAGCTTGCATCTGGAATACATTGAATCTATAACGTCTTGATCTGTCTATAATTTGTGGCAGTGATACAATGGCTTTGCCTTAACTCTTTGTGGTTTTAACGGCTCGTATGAGTGATTTCTGTTTTCCAGGATGTGTGAAACAATGTTAGCATATCTTAGAAAGACTGGATATACGTTATAGGCTGGAAATGGCCTTGGAGTTAGTCCCACATCTGGCATTCCACACTGGCCCATTACTAGATGTTTCAAAAGGAAATGGGAAATGCTTGCAAAGAACAAATGCCGACCTGCCTTTTGAGGGGAAAAAGTTTCTCCAAATGACATTATCTAATTTGCATCCTGCAGCATAAGATTACATTCATACATTTTCTCTCTCTCCTTTAACTTTAGCTGTTAATATACTTATCTAAATGCTTGTACTTTAGGCAACCTTACTAAACATCTTAATTCTCTAACATCTTGTTGAGTGAGTTCTGTATCTTAGCTTTGTATATTTAAAAAAAATGCTCTAGCAGTTTTAAGTTTGGTGTCTAGTAATTTCACTTGCTGTTCGGCTTCGGAAATCAGCAGTCCAGGTTTAAATCATCCTTTAAAATATTACAACAATTGCCTATTAGAATTTTCATCTTGTCCTCATTCTTACTTGTTCTGGAGAATTTCATTCCCTGGATCATTATTAATTACATTCTGCTTTGGGAAACCAGGTTTCTCACAGCTGCATTTAGATCCAATAAGGATCTGAGAGAAGCACTGTGGATTCTAATAATTATTTATTCTTGAGCAGCAGAAATCTTCTATGTGCAATAACGTAAATGAATTATTGCTTGTTCAGTTTCAATTGACTGCAAATGGGTAATCCATGGTATACAGAACACATTTCTTATGGCATGGTCTTTCGCTAAATCCATGTTCTGATTTCAGCATGAAATAGAATTCATACATGGATTAGTTCTTTTATACTTTTCTCGTGTTAATTTTTATAATTTCTGTGGGAATCTGTGTATGTGCATTTCTCCACCCCTGTGTTGAAGCTCCATTTTTGAGGGAAGCTATGACTAATATGTATAAACTAAAAGAGCTCTGGAAGAGATGTGCTTTAGTAAGAATCAGGGTGACTAACACAGTTGATGCATTGACTCGGAACCTTTTGGCAAGGTTTCCATTGAAGTGATTATACACTTCTGCGTTGTCCCTTAGCAGCAGGAAATCCTATCTGCCTTTGCTGAGGCTCAACTAAATCACACAAAAAGATAGAATAAATTTTGCTTTTTAGTGTAGATGATGGTGTACAGCTAAGCAGAGTTGGTTTCTGAACCTTAACCTGGATAACATGCTGAACAAAGCACTTTGTCAACCCAGATAAAGAACAGGAAACTTTGACTGGGCAAGCTTTGTTTTATGTCAGTATTTTTTTCTGGATTTTATGGTTTAAAGATTGATGTTATATGCAGGGTTTTGCCTCATGAAAATCAATCACTCATTTAATGAAAAAAAAACCCTATATTAAGTCATTTAGGCTTTTTTGACCTACAGAAACATTCAGAAAACAGATCATAATGCACTGCTTTTGGTGATCTTGTTCCTGGAGTAATTAAATAGAAATTTGACCACTGTTAAATCCAGATAACTTTATATGCTACAAACAAAGGCCAGTTCTGAATGTTAATCCACTTTGACTGAACTTCTTAGCTCATAAATGTTAAGGTGAAGAGCAGTAGTTTAAAGAGGTCAAGGGGGAGGTGTTTCAAAATACTAAAATATTAAAATCTGAAGAAAATTTTTGTAATAGAAAAGACAGACCTGCAGAAAGCTGAGCTAGTATATATGCTTTTTATGTCTGAGGATCTTGAAATTGATAAAGCAAGAGAGAGCGAGAGCTAAGAAAGTGATTTAGAGAAAGGTTTATAAAAAGGTTTAGATTACTGCTACCTGCTGAAGTGTAAAATGTTCTAATACCCACAAAATCTTTGGGGTTTGTTTGAATACCACTTATACATAAGTATGTACCTTTCTGTTTCTATAAATAGCAATTTCATGCTGTCTAATGTAGACATGATTCTTTTGCTGCCATGACTATTAGTTTGCTTCTGTAGAAGAAATCATGGAAGTAATTTAGCTATCAGTAGGTAGAATTGGGATAGGGGGGCTTCCACCCACATCCTCTGAACGCAGCATGAGTGGATTTCTGCTTAACTCCAAACATGCTGATGTTCAGACATGTACAATGCTCAGACTGAGATGGGATTTAGAATACCTGTCAGTCTTCATGTATTAAATGTCTTGATTTTTCAAACATTTTGTCTGATATTCTAAGTCTCTCTCCCTTTTTTCTCCATCCAGGAGGCTGAACAGAGTTGACCAGGAGAGTATCTTGCAAATTACTACCCATTTTCATTATAGGTCCCAGATCACTGGCAATCAGTGCCTTACCGCTTGCTGTGAAACTTTGATGCTCCTGGCTTCTTGGTTTCAGAGCTCTGTCTTGGAAAGTCACCACAGCTGGCCTGCAGTATTGTCTAGCAACATTAACAAATGACTGCTAATAAGATACTTGCTCTATCATTTGCCATGTTGTGAGAGCAGAGCCCAGAGGCCCTGCTGGTGGAGCTAAAGGAAAAGAAGATGTTGCTTAGGAAATTGAAAAAGAAGGAAAATAAAATAGATTCCTAGAATAGTGTCTATAAACAGTAGGTGTATGGCACTTCCCTTTTTGGATATGTAATAATATTTTTGTCCTTTATTCGCTGTAGTCGCTATGTTACGCTTGAGTTCTGTAGTTCAGATAGTTAATAAAATATACTAGGATTGGTGAGAAAACTCTAAAAACACTTTGTTTTCCTTTGTGAACATTATTTTTGTGAGCAGAAAATGTGAATTCAGGTGCTTGGCTAAAGAAGTTTGTGCTTATTTAGAATCCATAAATAAATAAAAAAGCTGTGTGCTTCTTTTGCTGCGTTATGGGTTGTTCTTACTATATTACTATTTTTCCACACAAACTTATTACAAAAGCTTTGATGTCATTGTTTTACATATGTTTTGTTGAATATATTTTCATGTCTCCTTTTTCTTTTCCCTTTCACTAGACATTTGCCGACCAAGTATTTGGTATCTTCAGCTGGACAATTCCCATTGCTGTAGCCTTTTCTTGTTTTGGTGGACTTAATGCTTCAATTCTAGCATCATCAAGGTAGTGCATATCTCTTTCTGTTTGACAAATGTTCCTAAGTATTTTTACATGTCACTGTTACGCTCATCTGTTATGAGAGTGCCAAAAATACCTTTGTAACCGAACCTATAATGAATAGCCACAATAGAATAACAGACCTAAATAAACCTCTCTGTGTGTACACACACCCTTAACACTGCCTTACTTCCCCAAGGCATTCCTAGCTGTATGCAGAGTACAATTAAAGATCAAATGAATGTCGTCTGTGTGGTGAGTCCTCAGGCCTTCTGATTATTTGGATTGAGTTATCTTCCATTTTACTCGATACAATAATTCTAGAAAGTTCTTGATTTCAAATGTATTTACTTAAAACTTACTGATTTTTTAAAATCAGTATCTTTAAATTTTTTTCCAAGTAAAAAGTTTTAGAAGTTGCTACTGCTATTAAGCTGCAGTTAAAAAGCTTATGATACAGTATAGAAGCTTTCCTCTGAGCACTGATTATGGATGTGACTAGTGACAGTTTTAAATACCTTTATTCAGGCATTTCAACACCCTTCCTGTCCATTGAATGTATGCACAGTGCCTCTGTACTGAGAACAAATATGAACATGATCTGGTGAAGTAGTCAATATAGAACAATTTGCAGTTAATAATAAGATTATGTGTGTTTGTTTTTTGAGCATGTGGTTGAGTGACCTCTTTTTAGAGACCTGGTGATCTCTTCTGGTTGGCATTGAAAACTATTCTGCTATAAGTGGGAATGTTTTCAGCGCTAGCTTTTAGAATTTTTTAAAACAATAGAAATTTATTTCAGTTACTGTAGATATTTTCTATTTTACCTGTAGGATTGTTCTCTAAAAATGGGTGTTAACAGCATGTTTCTAAAAGCTTATATATCTTTTAATGGTTGTTGTACAGTACATCTTGACCGGAAGGGCTGAATCTATGTTCCAGTTCAAAGGATGGAAATTCAGTGGTGTAAATACTTATTTTGACTGGTATTGTTGTTTGATTTTCTGTAATACATTCTCTCTCGCCTGTGGCCTCAACATCTGTTTTCTGATTTGTGTTTTTCAGACTATTTTTTGTAGGATCTCGAGAAGGTCACCTTCCTGATCTGCTGTCTATGATCCACATAGGGAGGTTCACACCCGTGCCAGCACTGCTCTTCAATGTAAGTTATTACTGCTTTTCTTCTCAACTGTTCACATGTGACTATATGAATTACTTAAAGGAAGACTTTAAAAAAGCACAACAGAGACCTTCAGATTTACTGTCATTGAGGTGATTTCTGAGAGAGTGAATTTTGAGAGGCATAAAATCATGCCAAACACCAAGGAGTAAAAGGTGTTACTTTCATGCAAAAAGCAGCATAAACAATAATTTTCAAACTTCTGTTGTTCATGTCACTCCTGTTCTTTTTTGACAGTGTGCTATGACCCTTATTTACCTGGCTGTGGAAGATGTCTTCAAGCTCATTAATTACTTCAGTTTCAGTTACTGGTTTTTTGTTGGACTGTCTATTGCTGGGCAATTATATCTACGTTGGAAGGAACCAGATCGACCCAGGCCTCTTAAGGTACTATTTACTTATTACGGAATTGTTTAAAATCCCTCTCTTTCACATAATGTAAAAGTGCTGTCTAAAATCTGGACCATACCTGTTATGTCTAAGGGTTACAAATTGATTGGAACACAAAACATGGCTTTCACTTTATGTTGTACCGTGAAAAGCAGCTTGTCTGCTAGATAAGAATAAGTGATTGTTGTAATAGTATACTCTTTTATTGTATGTTAGTTCAATCAGTAGCCCTTCTTTCTGTCAACTGGAGAATGTCTCAATAGGCTAACATAGTAGTTAGCCTTTTTTTCTTGGATTAGAAATCTCAAATTAGGAATGCTTAAGTTAATTCTATCAATGTGGACCACATTTAGCTCTGATGGTGTCTCAGTTCAATATCTGATCCTCTTACCACCTTCTCATACTTCAAAGCTGATACACTACATGAAAAAGTCATTCTTGTTTCCTGGGATTTATTTGATTTATCTAAAAACACCTCATACTGTTATACAGTTTCTTTCAACACAGCAGAGTTACCATACTTGATTACTTTTGCAATTTTTAGCAGCAGTTCTGTTCAAGAATTATTCTGCAATTTGCTTATGGTTCCAAGTAGCCAGATGTATAAGAGAAAGAGCAGATAATTCCACAAAGCGGGGATGAGAGGGAAAAGTCTGTAATTCTCACCAAAACATTTGTAACTGTAGACAACAAATTTTTCAGTAACATTCTGTTCTGTTTTTTCTGTCTCCAGCTGAGTGTGGCTTTCCCAATAATATTCTGTATATGCACAATATTTCTGGTGGTAGTGCCACTCTATAGTGATACTATAAATTCGTTGATTGGAATTGCCATTGCTTTATCTGGAATTCCATTCTTTTTCTTGGGAGTCTATTTACCTGCATCAAGGAGACCTCAGTTTATCAACAAGATTTTAGGTAAGTTTCTTTGTAGATGAAGATGTTGTTAGGAAAGAGGAAAATTAAATAAGTGAATCTCGGTTTGTTGATGAAAAAGAGTTGTGGTCAGTTGACCCCAGCCAGCAGCTAAGTACCCACAGAGCCACTTGCTCACCAGCATCCCCCAGCAGGGTAGGGAAGAGAACAGGAAGAACAAAAGCAAGAAAACTTATTAGTCAAGATAAAGATAGTTTAGTAAGTGAAGGAGAGAGGGGGGGGGAAAAACCCTGCTGCTGCAAACGCAGTCACCACCTCCCGCAAGCAGTCTCCAAGCAACGGCCACCTTGGAAGACACCCTCCCACACACATGCACTTCTTCCTCTGCCCCAGTTTTTATGGCTGAGCATGACATTATATGGCATGAAATATCCTTTGGCTTGGTTTGGGTCAGCTGTTCTGGCCATCTCCCCTCTGAACTTCCTGCCCATCTGGTTGCAGGGAGGGCAAAGTGGGAGGAAAAAAAAAAAAAAAAGCCTTGATACTGTGCAAACACCGTTCAGCAATAGTCAAAGCATCGGTGTGTTACCAACCCTGTTTGAGCCACAAATCCAAAACACAGCACCATATGGGCTGCTGTGAAGAATGTTAACTGCATCCCAGCCAGACCCAATAAAGGGTTATACTGATTTTATGTGTGTGTTTATACACAGATTTTATTTACTGTATATTTAAAACACCATCCACTTTCTACAGGTTTTGTCCTCAGTTTTTATGCATTTCTCTTTAACCAAGCCCATGAAAAGTCTTTTTCTTAAGCAAGGTTGATGACTGTAAAAGGGCTGGACATTCTTGGTAGTGCAAGCTAACTGTCTTGCTTTACTGAATCAGTTGTTTGAAGATGGATAGATTTTATGTCAGTCACGGGTGGAATTTTGCCTTCTGTTGAATTGCTGCAGTTAAATCATACATTTCTCTCCAGCAATACACTGTTCTCATTGTTACTATGTGAGAAAACCACGACAGATGTGGAAAGGAAAGTTTATAGCATAATCTTAGAATGCAACAGGATGTGGTGCTGTAGTAGCTAGTGAATAAGTAAATGCTCAGTAATCTTACCACTTTCCTGTGTGCTATTTGATATTCTTATTTTTTTTTATTCTACCAATTTTAGACTCTTAATTATAGAGAGAAAAGATTTTACTTCAGCTACTTGATGGGGTGCCTAAGAAGAAAAACACCCTAGGATATCAACATTATCTGTTTAAAAAAATGTAGTGGACAACACTTTTTGTATTAACTTTTATTGTTGGTTTCCCTTAAGAGAAGTGAGGCAGCATTCTTGACAACTAACTTTCACTAGTCAGATGCATGTTATGTAATTAGTGTTGAGGTGGCTTTTCTTCTGATTTATCTTCAATTTCCTATGCAGGTGCAGTCACACGGAACATGCAGCTGCTCTGTTACTGTGTTTTAACAGAGATGGACCCAAATGAAGAAAAGAAGTTAGAAATCAAATCCAACTAAAATTTCAAAGCCATTACAAGAAACAGGAGGGAGGATAAAGCAATTATAACAACAAAAGGGAAGAGATCGAACTGGAAAAAACGGGAAAACTGTTCCCAGTGGTCTTTCAGAAACACTGAAAATGTACTTACTTGCGGCTGGATTCCCACATAAATCCTGCCCTCGCGTCACCCTCCTAAACTGTGGCATGTTTTCAGGGCATATTTTCATTGGATAATGATTACCTACTCATTTCAGGTGCACAAGCTATATGTCAATACTGTTCCTTCTTCAGAATTGGTATTAAAATGGTAAGAGCTAATGGATCAAATTAGATTTCTGCAGAACCAGGCGGCGAAGTAATGCATTTTTAAGTTAGACTTCAGTCTAACTGGTTTAGTTAGTGGTTTTCAAACCACTTTGACTCAAAAGACCAAAAGTCATTCCAGCTTAATTCTGATGGATGTTTGCATGAAGTGATTTGCTGTGCTAAGTTCTTATCCCAGAAGACAACTGGTCACAACAAACTACCTAATTTATCATTATTAGCATAAAAATTAATAAAGTTGTGGTACATTATTTAAAGACTGAACCAACCTTTCTCCCTTAAAGATAAGTATTTTATTCTGTACGCTCTGTGGAAATTTGATATCTGACTGGGGCAAGGATTTAATCAACAAAGGACATTGGCAGTAAAGATTTGATTAACATTTGATGATTCTTTCCTGTTAGCTTGTTAGTACTTGGGTCAACTTCTGACAGGCTTTATGAAACTTTCAAAATTAAAATGTTCAGTTTGAAGCTGGTAAGCATTCGTTTCTGAACTGTTTCAATGAACACACATTAGGAGTGTTACCTCAGCAGTCAGAAAATTCCCTTCCTAATTTCAGTGCTGTTCACTAGAAAATGACCATCCAAAAACTCACAGAACAAACCACTTCCTTTTTTTCCTTTAATAGCAGAAGCAACTATATCTTGAAAGCTAAGTAGCAGGGAGAGAAAATAGGAATAAAAACAGAATTAAAAAAACCAGAAAATGCTAATTAGTAGTACTTGTAATTCCAAAGCCGTAAGCCTAACATCAGGCCACTGTGATACTGAATTTTTGGTGCAGCAAAAGGTAACACGAAGCCAGCCTGTTTGGCTAGCAGAGTGAGATATACTTCAAAAACATACCTGAAATTTTTATCTTAGTTCAGAATGTTTACCTCAGTTGACCTGAGTTTGTCTACGTGTGCATTTTATTGTGCATTTAAGTTGAACTAAATGTTGTAATCACAAGAATATGACTTGAAGGAATGCACACTTCAAATGCTGCACCACGTTTGCATCAGCCACTTGAATAATAGTGAGAATATTTGGATTATTGAGGACTCCCTGACCAAGGTTATCTTAAACAAAAAGCTACAGATAATGGCAAGTGGTAGTAGATGGTGAAAACTAATATAAAATGGACTTGGGCTACCTTTGTGAAGCAGCACGGGGACTCTAGATGATAGTTAAATTCTAGCTGAGGAACTTTGTGCACAGTTGGCCCATAAACATGTAGGGTCTTCTCAGTATTTAATGAAAATTAGCATTTAGCTATTATAATACAGCTCTTTAGTCTATCATATGATTAGAATGAATTCAGCATCTAAGTTGAGACATCTGTCCAGTGGGCAGCATTGCTTTAACAGGCTAGGGTTGTGGCATAGGTTAATAGCCATATTAACCTTTCTGTGAAACCAAGGAAAAAATATTTTGCTCCCACTACCTTGACGTTGCCAGCTGGAACTAATTGACCTAAAGTCATTGCTGCAACCTACAGTTCATGACTGACATAGATCTAACATCCTATTAGCTTTTTTTTTTTTTAGACTCAAGTAGGAGAGTGCTGAAATACTTTGTGTGTCCAAAGAGATAAGATTAAATTGTTTTAAAGATGAATGCAAGTTAAAATGCTGACATAGCTTCAGCTGTACCAACTTCTATGATCTTTAAATGAGTAACGAAAACTTAGTGAAAAATTCTTTATTTACAATTTAAATGCACATATATTGTAAAATTACTGGAGAGAGATCCAGCAATAAAATTGACAGGTCAAGGCATTTCATGTGCTCAAGCACTTGTAAACAAAGTAACTTGAAACTTAGGAACAAATACAGTAGAAAGCACTAGGACAGAGTGCCTTTTTCCAGGACTTCCACTTGCCATCATGGCAGACATGTTTATCTTCTTGTGAAACCACACGCATTAGTCGTGACAAGAAGGGCTGCTGCCAACAGTACCTCCATATATAATGTGGAGGTACTGTTGGTACAGGTACAAATGCTTGGGCATGCAGCTTTAAAAAAAAAAAAAAAAAAGTTCCTTCAGAACCTCAGCATCACAGAACGGGCAGAAAAGTAATTTTAAAGCAGATGGTATATTTTGCTTGGAACAAAAATTTGCATTGTCAAGTCACATATTCACACCCATCTGTTTAGTATCTACCAGGTGAAGTTGGCTGCTCAGATAGTAAAACGTTTTAGCATTTACTGGAATCCAAATCTAATACTCAAGGCTAGTCAGTAAGAATTAGGGTGAACCATGCTAGTCACCAACAGTTTCAGAAGGCCAGACAGGCAAAAATTTATCTTAAAGCTCATCCATGCAAAGATTGGTTTCCTGCTGTCCCAGTGAGCAAAACTTTTACCAGAATGTGGTTTTCCAGGGTTTTTTTGTGTGGTGTGGTTTTTTTTTTGGTTTTTGTTTTTTTTTTGGGGGGGGGTGGTGGTGTGTGTTAGTTCAACATTCTTACAAATAGCCATCAGCAGCTGTCTGGATTTTCAGTTCTACTGCAACAGTAGAATTTCATCTTCAGTATGCATTTCATCTTCAAAAAACGACTGTTAGTCAGAATCCAAATCCTGGATCTCGTCATATCCAAATTCCTGTAGAACCTCCTGTCGGTATTTGTTCCATGTTCTTCTCCTGTAACATTGGTCCTCATCACTGAAGCTCTCATCAGACTCTAAAGAAAGAGCACCAACACTTAGATTATCCCTCCTTTTTAGTAAAACTATCAGGTTAATCAGACTAAGCTTCTTGAGTAACTAACAAATACAAAGTCTGAACAAATTCTCTATTAGGTGAGGTCTGAATTGTGCTTGGAGTGCACTGGGATGGGGAGTTAAGAAAGCAGAGGCAGTGTTTCACAAGCACGTGGAACCAAGTCCTTCTCAAAACAAGCAATCCTTTGCAAGGACAGCAGCCTGAAATGAGGTTCTTGATTTTGACTTTGCAAAAACACTAAGATCCCTTGTAGTTCTAAGAAAGATCCTTCTCTAAGCAGATTTAACCCATTCTAAGAGCAGAACACTGCCCCAGCAGTGCTCGGTTAGTCGCTTTTTTAGAAAGATGGCATGTAAAAATGGATGGGATTTAGGTATGTGCACAGCATGAAAGCAAACAATATTTATGACAGGCATACCTTTTTCTCCATCACCATCTTCGTCAGGTAAGAATTCATCTTCATCAGGGTAATCATTACGCCAGTTATTTTCATCATTTTCATCATCTTCATCTTCGTATATTTCCCCTGGAACATGATCATCATCTACCTGCATGTCAACACAAAATGTAACATTCACTATAAATACAGACACTCAGCACGAAGCGGTTTTTATCCACCTATACAATACTATACAGATCATAAAGAGCCAAGAGATACTTACCTACTGCAAGCATTAGTTATTCAACAGTTGCACAAAGCACACTGTAGAAAAATTTGTGTTGTCAGTATATTCACCATAGTGTAGCAATCTGCTTTAGGTGAAAAATCAGTTAAGTGAAGTCATGCATTTAAATGTTCCAGTTCAGCATTTAAATGCCAAGGTTAATGTCTAAATTAATCCTACTCACTTCAGCAGTAGTGTAATAGATCAAGGAAAAGAAAAAGCAGCTTCAGGTTCTGGATATGCAAGTCTATTGATCACAGTATCTATACAATGAAAGACTAAAGCTTACATTAACTTCCTCATTCCACAGTCACTGAAGGACAATTCTATTACAAGAAAATAATCTTATGTTAAGATTGAAGTCCTCAAATACTGAAAAAGTTCTGTGTCCTCCCTTGCTCCTTTTTTTACCCAACTCTATTTACAGCTACATTCCAGTTGCCTCCTAGTCACAAATGAGATGCGAGTTACTTAAGTTTACATTTGTGTGCCAAAATTTATTTGGCAATTTGAAGCCAGACAAATTCTGCTGAGTACACGAGTACTATCCCTTCAGTTTTCATTGTCATATCATAATTTGCTTGAATCAAAAGTAACCTGGAGGAACACAGGCCTGGCAGTTACAAAAAGTCTCACACAGACGTCACTGAGCATACGTGTAGTATCTCAAAGCATCTTTCTTGGCATGGCAACTTTTAACGATAGGACTTTAACCATGTTTATTTATGAGTTTTCTATTTAAGAAAGATCTGTTTTCCCAAATACTTACCAGTTCATATTCTTCTCTATAGGGCTGTACAGAAAGGATATTTTGGATCCAACCAGGGGCTGATGTTTCCAGATAGTAGATGTCATAAACATACTCATCTTCTTTCTTATGGTGTTCTTTTTTACCATCTTCAGAAACATGTAAACGCTCACGGATCATCTCTACTGCATTGCAAAGAATCACATCTGGATCAGTCTTCTGCTGATAAAAAATAGAAAATAGAAAGTGCATATTTCCACTGAAGCCACACACACACAGTCTTAGTTACAGCCAACAGTTTTCTCTGTAGACAGTAGCCAACAGCTAGCTAAGGATGACAGTCTGAAATCTCAGACGGAAACACTTTCCCACTGGAACGCTGATATTTGGAACATTAACAACCTAGAACAGAAAGACACCAAAGAATTTTCCAGTTAACCTAGTCCAGCCAGCCATGCAATGTTTCAGATAACAGGAGAAAACTTCTGGGACAAGTTCATTCAAAACTACGGAAAGGGATGTGACTAATGCCATAGAACCATTCACCTGTTTCTGATGACATGTTGGCTGAAAAGACAAGCGTTAAGACGGCCTGTGCTTTGTAGAGCATTACACTGGCAACCGGACAGGAAAGACGTGTGTAGAGTAGCA